TTATTTTGAAATGATTTCAAACTTACAAAAAGTTTCAAGAATAATACAAAGATCCCTAATTTGCCTTTAACCCAAATTCATTTCTTTTCTACCAGTTTTAAGTTGCATATATCCTGTATTTTTCTTTGTGAGTAGCTCTGTTGGTATTTCCCAAGAAAAAGGCTAATCTCTTATTCAGGGAATTTGATTTGATATAACACTTTTATTTAAACTCCAGTGTTATCTCAGTTTGGAAAACTGTAGCAATAATTTTTCTTACAGCATTTTCCTCTCCAATACAGCTTCCAGTCCCTTGTGAATTATGGTTTTAGCTTACTAAGTGTCTTCCTTTTTGGTTGAAATCCTACTCTGCCCTATATCATGATAACAGTCCCTAAATTCTTCTTTCCATTTGTCTGATCTATTTTCATCCATCTTCTTTTTATTCATTTGAATCACTGTGTTTAGATGTATCTTTTGATCACATTATATATAGATGGGTTTTGTAATGTGAGTCAATTTGAAAATCTTCTCATAGATGAGTTAAGCCTATTCACATTTAATAATGTAGTGTATGCTTGGTCTGGACTCTTATATCATTTTACAATTACACTGTATCTTCTATTGCATTTACTGTGCTTCTTACTAGTACACCATCTATTAATTTCTCATGTTTCTTTGGTATCTAAAAACATTTCTGTTCTAGCTCTTACCTCTGCATTTATGTGTTTTATACCCCCCACCCACAATTGTTTTTTGTGCTTCATCATTTACTATGTATTCCTTCGGTGGTAACTTCTGACTCCCACCATAGGCAGCCATCCTACTCTGCTTTCCCCTTTCTTTTGTTTCTTGTCATTTCTAGTTGTAGTCTTTCTACTTTGTCAGAACACACAATATAAATTGGTTAGTTGGTTGAAGTCTGCTCTTTTATCACTTTGTTGGGGGAACTTCATTCTCTAGCAAATCCCCCAGGAAGGGCATTAGTACAGTCTGCCAAGGCCTGGATAGTTTAGGTGGGTATAAAATCCTTAACCAGAGCTTTCTTTCTTGTAGTTTCACTCTTGCCCAACTTTTTGTGTRGCTTACTTTTCATGCAGTGCATGAGAAACCTGAGGCCAGGTCTGGTTTTACTATCTATAAATAGCTGGATCTTTTTGCCTGGAGGCTCTGAGGATTTCTTTCCTTTGCCTTTAAAGTCTAGTAGTTAGTTTTACTAAAATGTGCCTTGGAGATAGTGTCTCTTTTGATTTTCTCAGTTGTACACTAGATCTGTTCTATATGTGGATTGACATTTATTTTTATTTCCAGAAATTCTGGAATATAAATTTAAATATTAGTTCCATTCCAATATTTTGTTTGCTTCTTTAGGGAACCCAATTTTTCATATGTTGGACCTTCTCTGTTTGCCTTTCATTTTGGCCACTGTCTCTTTAACCTTTGTAACTTCTTTTTCGTTTTAATTCCCTTTTATTTTTTAATCAAACTTGATAAAAATAGTATTTCAAACTCAACTCAAGATACACAGTTACCAACAATAGAGGGGCCAATGCCTTTGTGTCTACAAAACCATTAGCTTTCTACACCTGCTCTGTTTTGGCATCTCCACTTTCTGCCGTGTTATTCCCACCCTTGCCAGAGTCAGCATCCCCCTTTTTCCATTGGTACCTCACTCTCTTCTTTTCAGGGCCTTTTAAAGCCTGGGCTCTGACTGTGCAGAGCAGGGTTAGCAGATGACCTTGCAGGTGTTCTCTGTGCCTTGTCATTCACCTTAGCTTTACCTCCCTCAGCAGCCTCTTCAACCTTCCTCCTGGGCAGGGTGGAACCCTCGGCAGGACTGACGGGGATGGGTGGTGAGCAGCTTTGGTTGTTCTGGGGTCATTCTCAGCTCTTCTTCCTAACTCGCTTTTTATTGACAAAAATGTGATTGTTACGAGTTACCGTGTGACATTTCAATATGTTTATACAGTTTGTGTCGATCAACTCAGAATATTAGTTATCCATCTTCTCAAACATTTATGATGTCTTTATGATAAGAAAATCCAAAGTCCTCTCTTTCATCTACCTTGAATTATATAGTATTTAGTTTAATTCTTTTGGTTGTTTTGCCTTATTAGTGTCTCTCATTAAATTTTCATTAAACTCTATCCTCCATTGGGGCTGTAATGTATTCTTTTTCTTCATTGTCTTCCTTGAGTTTAATCAATGCATATTACATTTGCCATTTCTATTGTTAATTTCTTAAAAATTGATTCTAGGATTTGAAAAATCTATGCCACATATTTGTTTTAGGACACTTAATATAGTCTGAGGTGCTGTGCTTTCTTCTGTTTTATTTTTGGGAAGAATTTTCATTAATCAAACATTATGATAACATTCTCATTTTCTTCATATAATTGCTTTACAGTCAGTTTAAATTTTTTCCCTATTTCAGTATTTTCTTGGTAAGATTCCTAACTAAAGTGCCATGTTTATTGAAGTGCAAGCACTGGCAGTTTGGGTGGTAATGGCGGAGAAGGGAAATTGAATCATGCAATGACATGCTGATCTCCAGGGGGAAAAGCAGCCTGATTTGTAAAATTGGTTGATTTCTGTAGGATTTATTCTTCCACCATGGCTTATTTTAAGTTGTGAAAAGATATCCCTGAACCCAGAGTTGGGGAAAGATGCTAGTGCTCAGCTCCCACAGGCCATTTTGTGTCCCACAGGTCTCTGCTCTTGTCTTTTTGCTTGACCTTCCACTGGCCAACTCATTTCCTTCTTGTCACTCATGGTGACATCTTCAAGGACACAACCACTTCTCTGACCTGACCTCTCCCCAGAGCATGCTTCTTCAAGGCTGATGCTTGTCTGAAGTCCTTCTGCTGCAGCTGGTGCTCTGAACTGCTAGGGCCTTGACGTTGGGCCTTTGCTGGGGTGAGTTGCCTATGTGGCCTTTGTATCCTTCACTCCTCTTTTTAATTTCATAGGTATTTTAAGCTTCTCTCTCTCCAATGATCAGTATCCACAGACTTGCAATGTTTGGGGGATCTCCTGGCATTTGGCATTTATTTCTCTATTTATAGGTGATTTGAGATCAGTGGTATTCTCTGTCCACTAGTGATCCTGAAGGCATGGGTCATTTTATTGGAACTTCTTGGTGATTTTATGGTTTGGCCATGGATGTATGAGGGTGTAGAGAGACATTTGGATCCAGACAGCCACCAGTATCATCTAATCATAAAGATCCTTTAGTTCTAATTATCAAGTTCATTGATAACTTCAAGGTCCTGTTGGCCTAGAATGAGAGCTTTTCACAGAAGCCCACTACAAGTGAGACTTGGCCATGCAGGCTATGCCTGTGGGTCCCCATAAGGAACTGGGGACACACACGCATAACCTACTCCAGTTTGTCTAACCCACGTGATGAGGGTAGATATCATGTCTCCAGTTCTGGGTCACCTCTCATCCAGAGGTTCAGGTCAGCCTGAGCCCAGTGTATTCTCATCAGGCAGAAATGTTTGACTTTGGTGGCATTGGGGAAAAGACACAGAAAAGACCATGTCAAAATAATAGCAATTTGAAGCTGTTGTTAATTTTGGTGTGCAGCACGGTAGGTCAACTCTCAGTGAAGAGCTATTGGGTTTCCACAGCTCTTGATATTCACAAATGCTTTAATGTTTGCTTATTAATCTCATCCCAACATATCCTGCAGATGAGCCTTTACCCATCTGTGTGTTCATGATAACTATGATAGAGTCATGAGTCAAATTGTTCATTTACTGTTTTATTTTGATTTTTATTGCAAAATATCTCTTTTTTTCCACAAGCGCCAATAGTCATAAAATCATTGACTCAGCACAAAAGGTTGGCAACACACAATCTACAAAGTACAAGCTGTAAGTCCACATGCTCACACTCATTCATTCAGTCAGCCAACAAACTTTTTTATTTTTAGTTTTAATTTTAGGTGGACACAATATCTTCATTTCATTTTTATGTGTTGCTGAGGATGGAACCCAGTGCCTCACACATGCTAGGCAAGTGCTCTGCCACTGTGCTACAACCCCAGCCCTCAACAAGCATTTTGAACACAAGCTCCAGGGACTCTCCTGAGGATTCTCGGCTGTGGCCTAGCATGTGCAAGGTCCCGAGTTTCATCCTCAGCGCCATAAGTRAATAAATAGGAGAGAATTTGTCATAGACCTGCTTGGAGGATTCCTTGCTGCTTTTCTGCCTCCAATTTCTACTTTAATTCAGGGTACCCACTGTCCTATACAACACCCAAGCAAGTGAGTGAGAGGTGACAATCCAAGTTACAGTCTTCATCTGCATCTTTTGTTTATATCTTTGGATTTTTTTTTTTTTATGGAGACATTGAAGTTACTATTTTTTTTTACTTTCAAATATTTTTAATATCATATTTTCAACACTTTAATGAAAATAAAATGAATTTATGAGGTTGTAAGGAAACATCTTTTATTTTAATGAATATGATTTATTAAACACAAAATACAACTCTATTCTTTATTGGTTCATTCATCATTCAATACATACTCATTGAATATCTGGTATATGCCRGGTACCAATCTAGGTGCATGAGGATATGGCTTTGAACAAAAAAGAAAATGTCTCTACCTTCATAGAATGTACAGAGAAGGGGGAGCTAGATAATAAGTAAAATAGCTAACTAGCAAAATAGTATGATATCTTTACTTGATAGATTATTGTCACATTTCGGACAGCATTTTATGCCTGAGAAAGGCTGTTAAAAAATGTGTCTTTTGAAGTTGTACCTAGACAGGGAAGCCACATCTATGTGTCCTACTCTATTCTTTTTCTTTGAGTTTTTTTCTTATTCTAAATATATATATATATATATATATATATATATAATTATCACAGTAGAATGAATTACAATTCATATTACACACATAGAGCACAATTTTTCATATCTCTGGTTGTATACAAAGTATATTTACATTTACATTTGTGAATTCATACATGTACTTAGGATAATGATGTCCATCTCATTCCACCAAAAAAATATGGAACACTTTTAATTTGCATGTCATCCTGGCACAGGGTCCATGCTAATCTTCTCTGTATCATTCCAATTTTAGTATATGTGCTGCYAAAGCTAGCACRAAGTTACTATTTTTATGTATCTCTCTCATGATGGTAAAACACTCAGGTTTAATTTAATTTTTATTTTTCATTTCTCTGTTTTGATAAATCATGAACACAACCACAGTTTCATAGACCTGGAGAAAAATTCCATCTTCTAAGTAACTTAGCCTAGGATATTGTCCATGGAATACCTAAACAGAATGATAGAATTTTGAATTTCAAAATCTTAAGGATTTTGAAATTTTTTTCAAAATGTTTTTCAAAAATTTGAAAGAATTTGTCATAAACTTTAGTATGTTGTTTTGATGGAATGAGATAAGTATGTCTGCAGACAGACTATAATATTTTTAAAGATTTCAGTCCACAATTGCCTTCTGGTAATGGAAAAAAAAATTAGTCTTCAAATTAACTGGACTTAGGGTCGTTTGGTTTGGTGAGGAAACATTCCAGACGGAAATTCTGAAACTACAAGAGGGTAATGCAAATCAGATGTCCAAACCAAGGAGTTTTTAATGTATGTATACATGCAAATATAGCCCTTGGCTTGTCGGCAATCTGATTTTCTCCTAGTGATTCTAACATGCTTTAGACCTGCCTCCTAAGCAACCTGCTCTGAATCCATCCCTCATGCTTGGCTCCTTAGATCCTGTTACTTTTCTTTGCTCATGATACATTGACCACCGTATGTACCCCTTAATTATATGTGCACTGCAGACCCGGATTATGTGGCTCTGGCTGCCTTAGTTGACAAGGTGAGGGCGACCCTGTTTGATTTCCCAGCTTTTCTGCTTCTCTGCTCCTCATCTGAAATGTGCAGCTACAGCTGCCTTGCTCAGGTTAGATAGAAGCTTATAAAAAAGCAAGAAGGATTGGGCGCAGTGGTGCACGCCTATAATCCAGCAGCTCTGGAGGCTGAGGCAGGAGGACTGTGAGTTCAAAGCTAGTCTTAGCAATTTAGTGAGGCCCTAAGCAACTAAGCAAGACCCTATCTCTAAATAAAGTATTTTAAAAGGGCTGGGGATGTGGCTCAGTGGTTAAATGCCCCTGGGTTCAATCTCTTGTACCAAAAAAAAAAAAAAAAAAAAAGTGAGATGATTAAAGATGGAAGGACTCCCTTGGTGATTGAGATGATAGATGATTTTTTTTATATTTCTCTGTAGTTTCTAATTTTGTTCAGGTCCTCTATTTTTCCAAAGCCACAAGATCAACATTTGTTTTAAAACATACACACACACACACACACACACACACACACACACTCAAAAGCAAATGTACTAAAGTGATTCAATTGTGGGAGTTGGAGTGATTTTTATATTCTCACATTTCCATGCATTTCCCAAATACTGCTTTTCTAAAAACAAATTATTCACAAAAATAACCCATAAACTACCAAAATAAAAGTATTTTTCTTATGGAAATGATTAAGTATTATAAAGCAGTCTTTAAAKTATCTGATCTCTCAGGATCTAGATTCCCATTGCATTTGAAATCTACTTCAAAAAAAAAATTTTGGTGGTGGGGCAGGGACAAGGGGTTGAACCCAGGGGCACTTAACCACTGAGCCACATCCCCAGCCCTTTTTTGGTATTCTTTTTAGAGGTAGGGTGTCCCTGAGTTGATTAGGGCCTTGCTAAGTTGCTGAGGCTGGCTTTGAACTCGCAATCTTCCTACCTCAGTCSCCCAAGACACTGGAATTACAGGCATAATAATATTTCTTGATAGAGATTTAACGTTTTAGACTTTTCAGCCTTCTTGTCTATTTTAATATTTTCAACATTCCTGACTACTCACTCCACACAGGTGAGGTTCTGAAAAGCAAGGCTCTCCCCCTCTCTCYAAGACACAATAATATAGTTTCTCTTTTCTTTTTCTTTTTTCTGTGTGTGCATATGTGTGCACATATGTGTGCTGGGAACTGAAACCAGGACCTCTGCATGCTAGGCACGGGCTCCCTCACTCCACCACCAAACCTCATCCCCAGTCCTTTCTTTTGTTTCATTTGTCTTTGCGGAGCTATGTGTTCTAATTTTCTTCAGGGGACTGTACTGCCTTTGGGATGATGAACTGTTTGTTTTGACAGTAAACTGAACATCTAAATAGCTACCTCCCAGGTAAATAAATAAAAGCTTGTTCAATATTTCTTACCAACAAAAGGTTTTATCAGAAGTCTCCAATTCTGGATGCTGGGTATACAGCACCATCCAGCTGGGTGTTACTTTGAACTTCTTGATTAATGAAATAGCCATTGGTGTTTTTGTCCAGCTCTGCACCAATCTTACACCATTTTAATTATCAAATTTTAAAAAATAATAAATCTAGATATCCAGTACTTCTCTGAACTTTTTCTAAATCCAAACCATCCAGTGCAGTTATTCCTTGCTAGAAAGATAAAATGCACACCAGATTTTGAAGACCTAGTACCAACACGAATATAAAATATTTGTTGATGATTTTTATGTTAGTTACATGTTAAATTGAGAATGTTTTGAATGTACAGATTAAATAAAATTACTAAAATTAATTATACTGGTTAATTATTAATTATACTTTTAATGTGGCTTCTAGAAAATCTTAAATTATGTGTGTAGGTCACACCTTTGGCTTGGGCTATTCTTCTCTCAGATGTTGCTGTACTAGAGCTATCTGGCTTTTCAACTTCTTCTTTAGTAAAAAAAATTTAAGCTGCATTTTTTCTACAAGTTTTTTTCCATTTTGTCTAAGTTTTCAAGTGTATTAGCATAATGGGGGGTCATCATGTTATCTTACGACCATTTCAGTGTCCGTAGCATTGGTAGTGATGCCTCCTTTTTAAAACAAAAATTTTGGTCTGAGTTATCTGTGTCTTCTCAAGGCCTACATCAGTGCTTTTTTCCTTTTTTCTTGATCAATCGTGCTAGAGATTTGTCAATTATTAATCTTTTATATTTGGTGGAGGGGTACTGGGGATTGAAGGGTTCTCTATAACTGAGCTGTGTGCCCAGTCCTTTTTATTTTATTTTATTTTGAGACAGAGTCTCACTACATTATTAAACTTGTGATCCTCCTGCCTCAGCCCCCTAAGTCCCTGAGATTATAGCTGTGGCCACTCCCCAGCAATGATTCCCCTTTTTAGGAACCAACGTTAACCTTGTTACTCCTTGTTTTATATGTTTGCTATGTATTTCACAAATTTCTCCTGTATTCACTACTTTCCTTTTTCAGTATTCTTTGTGGTTTTAGCCTAGCACAGTGGGACACAYCTGAAATCTCAGAAACTCAGGACACTCAAGCAGGAGGATCACAAGTTTGAGGCCCTCTGTAATTTAGTGAGTCTCTGTTTCAAAATAAAATAAAAATGGGTGGTGATGTAGCTCAGTGTTAAAGCACCCTGGGTTCAATCTCTAGTACCACCAAAAAAAAAAACAACAAAAAAACTCCAGTGTTTTCTTTCTTTCTTTCTTTCTTTCTTTCTTTCTTTCTTTCTTTCTTTCTTTCTTTCTTTTCCTTTTTCTCCCCAATAATTATTGAAAAGTATGCTTGAGTTATTGAGTTTTAAACATTTTTCTCTTCGTACTTTATATTCCACATGTCTAATATGTATCATTTTATTTAGTTTAGTCTAAGTATTTTTTAGTTTCCATTTGTGATTTCTTATTTGACCCAAAATATATTTCAAAATATCTTTCACCATTTCCAACCAAGTAGAAAYGTTTTCTTTTAATTATTGGCTCAGTAATTGACTTCTAACAATTTCATTGTGGTCAGAGAAGTTTCCTCCGTAAAATTGGTCAAAACTTACTTTTATGGCTCAGAATATTATGAGTTTCTGTATGTTCCTTGGTTTTTTTTTGAAAGGACTGTACTCTGAATTGTTGGGGGGCAGTGTCTACGCAGCATTTAGTTTAAGTTGTTAATTRTGTCATGTCAGCTTTTTGTTGCTATGACCAAAATACCTGACGGGAACAACTTAGAGGAGAGAAGATTTGCTTGGGCTCGTGGTTTAAGAGATTCAGTCCGGGGTCTGTCCGCTCTGTTGCTCTGGGCCTGAGATAGGGCAGAACATCATGGCGGATGGGTGTGGCAGAGGAAATCTGCTCAGCCWTGGCAGCCAGGAAGCAGAGGGAGAAAGGGGTGGTGCAGGAAGGGGCCAGAGAGAAGACAATCCCTACCAGGTACACTCCAGTGACCTACATCCTCCATTAAGTCTCACCTCCCAATAACCCATTCAGCTACCAGTGGGTGAATCTACTGATTACGTCAGAGCATCATGATCCAATCATTCACCCACACCCTCACCCTTGAGCACATGAGACTGGGGGACATTTCTGATCCAACCCATAATATTCTACTCCTAACCCCAAACCCTGACATTAATCATGCTCTGTTGAGGGCCATAGCCGAGTCGGGATGGCATGGCATTTTTGCCAGAAGTAGTGGTTGAGAGGTGACGCCAGCGAGCCATTAAGAAGATGACTTTTGAGTTCTCTCGGAGTTCCCGTTGAGTTCCAGTTGAGCTCTTGCGGGGATTCCTGAAGAGTTCGCATTGGTTGGGGAAGTGCCGGGAGGAGGGATTTCCGGTTGGTGGTTCCTGGAGGAGCCGCCTGGCGTTGGGGAGAGTTCCCGGGGAGCGTGTGTGGAGTGTGCTGGTGGAGTTCAGAAATAAAGTTTGTTCCTGCTTGAGTGGCTCGTGATTTGTGCCCAGCCAGACTGCAGCAATGCTCAAATCTTCTACATCATCAACTTTTCTTTCAACTACTGAAATGTTTTAAATTTTCCTTCCTATGATTATGTGTTTATTTCTTATTTTAGTTGTCAGTTTATTTATTTAAATATATTGAGGTTATACTTGTAGGTGCATATAGATTTAAAATGATCATTCTTGTGAATTTAGGCTTGGATCCTTGTGAATACTCTTGAAAAATACATAAGTAATCAAGAACAGAATTTTCAGAGCAATATGGAGATCAAGGCCGTTCTGCTGAGGCCTCAGAAGGAAATGAGGAGCATGTTTATTTTGCATTATGGAGGAAAGGCGGTC